GAAGGGCATGCCGATGGACGACTGGATGCGCCAGAGAGAGTCTTAATGGAAAGGCGAGGTCACTCGTGAAGAACGGTGGGGCTTAGGACAAGTGCTCGACCGACTCGTCCAAAAGCAGGGCATACAGTGGCATCGCTTCATCGAGTCCCACAGTCCCGATTTCTCTCCTTCCCTTCTGAAGATATATTAATTCGTGGAATGAATCTTTCCATGAAAAAAACATGAGGCACAAGCGGCAATTGATATGAAATTTGGTACCTGGATTCGAGTGGGCTCGTTTGTTCACGTCACTCTTGGATCGGAATGGAGACGACGAGGAAGTATTTCGCTTTATCCGACGTCTCTAACGGGCCGAGACTCCATAATATGCTCCATACTTCCTCGTCTGAGATATGGGGGAAATATCAAAGTCGATATTTACAATCGTCGGAGAAAAATTAAGAGACAAAGAGCGGAAAAGGAAAGGAGAGATGAAAAAAAGTCGCTTTAGAGTACCTCACAGGTCATTAGAGCCAGAAGTACTTATCAGGTGGCTTGTTCTTGCTTGTCGCCCGGTCGCCCGGAATCGAGCGACTCGTGGTTCTACAAAAATGACGTCCAAGGTCGAAGAATTTGAACAGTTGATCTCATGGAACTTCACGCCACAATCGGGTGCAATAGAGAAAAAAAAAGCATAAACATCAGGGAATATATATACATAAACAAATCCAGATGATTACATATATGGAATATGATACCAACCATCAAAGGACGAAAGGGTGGAAGCATCTTCAGTTGGTGGTGATCAGTCCTAGAGAGAAAAAATCCCGCAAATGTTACAACACGGAACGTAAACCCGTCCGGTTGTGTCTCCATCCAGGAACGATTCTGAAATACATCGGAAAAAGGTAATATTTCATAATCTCTACAATAGGACTAAAGGAGGAGGTAGATCCGCGACCGGATCCGCTAAATCGGCTAAGAAGGGGGCAAGATCATGTTAGAATGCATGGGCAAGCAACAAAAAATTAAAAAAAAAAATCATTATCACTAACATAGGACTCAAGCAGGAGGCAGATCCGCGACCAGATCCGCGACCGGATCCGCTAAATCGGCTAAAATGGGCAAGATCATGTTAAAATTCATAGACAAGCAGCAACAAATTTTATAAAGATGTCATAATCACTATAGTAAAAGCACTTCCACTCGCGACACTTTCTAACGGAAAACTGTGGGGGGAGGAAATTTCCTGGGGCGAACGAGGTTATTGCGCATGAATGGGGCGACGCGCGCCTCTTCCTTGTCCCCTCCCCCGCGCTTCCTTCTTCCTACATCGGAAACGATGATGCCTGAGGGTAATCCCGTCTGATCCGAGACCGTTGACAAGACAGGTTTGCCTGGTGACAGAGCCACTTCTTTCGCCGAGTACCAGGACGATCCCAGAGAGTCACACTCTCAGATGTAGATCTATTCCCTGAAGTTACACCACCCCGAGGGGCTGGTATCTTTAAATCGACTGGCTTTTTTTTCAGCTACTTGGGAAATGCGTGAAAAGCTGGGAAAAGCATGTTAACTGATTTCTTCCATAACGGTTCTTGCCTCAAGGATGCACGCAGACCAACGCTAGTGATCCCAGAACGTTGCGTAGTGGAATCCTTCGATAAACTGAAAAAAAGGAATTAACATTGTTGTTGAATAGGAGTTGTATTTAAGGAGCTGCCCTTTTACCCCATCTATTTCTCTTTTCAAGAGCATACTATGAAGACGAATAAAAAATTTGCTACGCTATCTTTAGCACAAGGGAGAGAAAAGGAGTCCAAAAATAATTCCAGCGAGTATTTTGAACCCTTCTATAACGTGACGTCATGTTTGACGCAGTGTGACGTTGTGAATCTTTCAGGACATCTCCGGGGAGGAAAGAGTCCAATCCCTTTAATTATATTCATTTCCACCAGTGAAAGATGAAAAAACGGTCAGTTGAAATGATATTCTCGCACGGGAACCATCTGCGAGCTAAAGCTGTCAGAACCAAGGCTCCCAAATCAAAAGCGAGAAGACGCCTAAGTCACCATAGTAGAAATTCCATCCAAGGTAAGATAGGAATAAGGACATCGAGAAGGATATGCGATCAACCCGGGTTCGGTGATGTAACAATTAAATGCCCGACCGGCTTTCAGGAGGACCAGGGTTTAATCCCCGGCCGGCTTTGTTTTTTTTTTTTTTGTTGCTCTCCTTTGGTTTCTCTTTGAGCGACTGAGTGGATTCCATGGGAATCTCGTTTTACTTTTTTTTTTTCTTTATTTCTGTGATTCTTTTTTGCTTTAAATTACGTGTATAAAATATCTAAACTCGTTCGTCCTACAATATTCTTCTGGGGGACGGACTCGTCGGGCGCCATCAGCTGTTGTAAAATTTGCCAGGAATGATGCTTAATCTTCGGATGAGTAATTAATCCGATCACGCGTCGATCGTATGAAACTGCAGAAGCAAAAAATTGCGAGCGCCGGAATGTGCAAACTTGGATTTCTGCACGTTTAAATCTGAATGGATTTCTCGAAAATAATTTCGGATTGTAGTGGATTTCCAAGATTTTAAAATTCTACAATGTTTTTCTTCATCTTGACCTTTTTATTGGAGAACGATCGCTTCGGTGCTGGAAGACATGAAGACGCTTTTCTTCACGAGCGATCTCTCAGATCTCGTTCAGCACAGTTGCTAGAGGGGAAATATGCTGCTGGCGGATATAATAATGTTGAAGGCATCGCTCCCAACTCGATCAAATTTGGTTTTTCTAGAAATTAAGTTTTTTTTTTGGCAAAGAAGTTGGATTAAATATTGCGTGCCAAATATTCGCATGGATTTCTCTTCTTCCTTTCGCACCCAAGTGAAATTTGGCAACAAATTGTTTCGCATTCTTCGTACTTACGAGGGTCATCCCTTAAGTTCGAGAATATTTTATGCTACATCGAGTCGAAACACGAAATGCAGCTAAGTGAACTTTCTCGATGTTCTCCCCGCGCAGCTGCACGCATTTCAGCTATTTTTCTATCAACGTTCCGAGTCATTCGACGGAGCAGTTTTCTGGGGTCGCTTTAAACCCAATGGTTCGCAGCAGAAGCGAGATCCTGCGAATTCGAATGGCGCTTTTCTTTTTCTTTTAGATTTTTTTTGTTATTTCTGAGGAAGACAGTGGTCGCTGGGAGGAAGGTCCGGCGAGTGGACTCGGTGCGGCAGCAGTTCGTAGATTCTTCGTCGCAGTCGGTGTTGTCTGGCTGGTGTGAGGCCGGGCGTTGTCTCTTTGGAGTGAAACTTGACACGGCCGATTGACGCGGCGCTTGTCTTCTACTGGCTGCTTCAACTTGGGTCGAAATCGGGATGTAGTAGGCACTGTTGATCATTTGCTTGTGCGGGAGCCTCTCAATAAACAAAATTTCCTCGAAGTCCCAGATGACAGTGACCATTCTTTCTCCAACAGAGGGCGCTGCTTTCGCCTTGAAAGGGGGGGGCCGTCACCTTTTGTAATCCATTGACTACTCTGAGCCTTGAACTCTGGCTGGTAATAATGAAAGCATGACTTGTCGCCACTTACTATTCTAGGCATGAACTCAGCCGGCGCAGTGCCATTACATTTCCAGCAACTGGCGAGGAATGGTCGCACGGGCCCGCTTCATTTCACTACTGAGCAATTTGTAAGGAATGATACGAGGCCCGCTCTCTAATTTCTTACTATTGAATTATGTGGGCGTCAATTTTTTTTGCTGATTTTCTCCGGCAGCATATAAATCGTCGTCGGTCGCTGAAGTCAGTATGCAAGGAAGTGGATATTGGGGGGGGGGGGGGCCTGTTTCCTAGTTCCCCGCCCTCCCCCCCTCNTTTCCCCCCCCCCCCCCCCCCCCCCCTCCCCTTATCTGCCACCACCATCCGTCCTATCGCCTTATTCAATTTTCGTCTGGGGTAAAAACTCTGAATATCCATTTAATATTAGCTACTAAAAATTGATTTATGTGCTTTCTAAATAAATTTAAAAAAATAGACTGCGAACTTGGCCAGAGGAGGGGTAGTCGCCCTCCCTCTTCTGGATCCGCCACTAGTGAAAGGGTGAATGCAGAACTGGATCAAGATGTTGCGAGGCCAGAGGCAAGTGAATTCTTGGTCCCTCTCACCCACTGCTACTTTACGCAAATACCTAACGTGTTTAATTTCCTTGAAGGGCCCCCTGGAAAAGCGGGGCCCGGGGCAACAGCCCCCTTTGCCCCCCCTTAATCCGACCTTGGGTGAATAGTATTTGAAGTAGCCACCCCTTCATTTAAGCACACAAAGCGGCGTCCCAGTAGCGAGATGTCTGTGCAGTGTCGCGTTGAACTCCTTTGATTCCTTTTGTCAACTTCGTAGCTCTTCGTAGCTCGGCGCGTGGGCCCCTTTGGCCTGTGGGCCCCGGTGCAGTCGCACCGCCTACACATTCGGTAGCTACGCCACTGAATTCGGTCCTGCAGATTCCCTGATGCAATAGTGCACACGGAACAAGATATTTGCTTGTGGCTGGATGTCCATACTGGAGGAAACAGAACATCTCGCTTTCTTCACCAGACAAATGTAAATGAAGGAAAAATTCCCGAACAGTCATAATTCAAATAAATACCATATCTGTACAGAAAACTACATTTCATTTTATTCAGAAGGGATTTCACAGCATTCAGAAATGCAATCAAGATTCCTGAAATCACACAGACAGATCAGGTCAAAGCATACATGTCTCTGGTGGACGTGGTAAGACATAACTAAGAACTGGCTGAAACAGCTGATTCCTTCCACCAGAAGCAGCCTGTTGGAGATGAGGAGGTGGTACTGTCAGCACAGCTGACTGTGGCAACAGCTGAGCCTGTTGTTGTCCTTGAGTCGGTGCCTGTGTAAAATGGTGCTGCGGCATGCTTCCGGTCATCTGTGCGACTGAGAATGGCTGCTGGGGAGGGCCCATGGTCGAATGAGGGGGTAGGATGACCTGCTGTGGCAATGCAGTTAATTGGTGTGGAAAGATGACTTGCTGCACCATAGAGGGTTCCTGTTGCTGAGGTTGATACCCCAGTATTTGTGGTTCCTGTGGGTGGTTGGGAAGAAGGGGACGAGGAAGGAAAGGGGGTTGATCCATCAAAGGAGGGGGGCAGGGTAGCAAGGGCTGCTGTTGTTGCTGGGCATGGGGAAACACGGGGGTCGGCATGAGACCATTCCCAATTCCCAATGGAGAAACATGGCCTGTTGGCGGGGGTGGAGGAGGTGGTGGTGGTGGTGGGATGGTGAGATCTGGCAATCCAGAGATCCAGGATTGACTTGGATCTTGCGGGAAAGAACGGGACTTTTTTGGGCCAGGGCTGTTCCGTGACTCCTCCTCGTCTGAAGTGTAAACTGAAAAGACAACTTGTTTATAGGGCCAATGTTTAAAAAAAAAGCTAAGATCAGGACTCTTAGCAAATGGAGTGATTCCACTGACCTGAGAGTGCACTGAGGGATCCCCTAGGCTTCTTCCCATCAGTTCTGCCTTTCTCCAACTTCTCACCTGTGGAATACCAGCACAGAACTACACACTGACTGTCTTCAAGCTCTGTGCCTTCACAGAAAAATACAGGTGTGTGTTGCATGCATGTCATGTGGATGAATGGGAACATTATTAGGAGCACAAGAATTCCATTTTCACTACAGACCTAATTCACTAATCAACCAGAAAAAATCACAGGCAACATATAGCTTCAATGGTTGCAAAGTGTGTTCATGAAGGAAGTGGCCACATTATCATAAGTGACTAATGACATTACAGACTTACCACCTCTTTCCTTGTAACAAGACAAGACATTACACCAAGATTTTTTTCAGTCAACATACTGCTCATCCAAAAGAAGGGGGATCATAGGCATATGAATCATATTCAATTAACTCTCAACATTTCACAGGCAATTGCAATTGGACAGATGAACACAGCAGCTAAAGGCAAGAAACCAAGCTTTTGTGAAACTTAGAACTTTTCATGCAGGGGCTTTGCGACAGCTGAAGAGAACAGATCCTGTAACAAGAGTTCCTGAAAGACCATACCAATATCTTGGTGCTCCACAGAGTGCACTGCAGGCACTCCATAAACAAAACTAACTGCATAGCAACATCATTCCATTGTAACTTAGAGATGAAGATAGAGGGCTAAAGAAAGCAAATGTCTCCTCATGCCAACATGCATTATTAGGTCAGGTCCATAAAGCAAGTTCCCACTTGATTATGTCAACTTGTGCAGACCATACATTATATACATTTCCTTGCACTTGAAAATGATTGAGTTGGGGTAGCAAATGGGAGCTGACCCACTTGGCAAGTATTCTAACTCATTTCATTTTTATCTAAGAGCTGGGCATAAAAATCTTACTGCTACTAAATTGCAAGTCACTGTGTTCCCTAATGCTTGTAAAAATGAGGAATGAAGTTGCCCGAGCTGCATACTGACTTCCTGTTTCCTAGTGGAAATAGTGACAGGCCTACATGCAACATAGCAGGCTATGCTTCTAAGGAGAAAATGACAGAAGGCAGAAGGATATAAGTCAAATTGTGAAGAGAGAGAGGAAGGGCAGAATCAATTCCTGTGCCTAGACACATGGTGCTTGTCATTAAAAAAAAAATCCTGGAAAAGAGACTGGATTGAATGTCCACTGGAAAGAAGAGACAAAGAATCATGAATTGAGAAATTGGTCAGTCACAAACCTGTCCGCTTCCCTCCTGGGGGGCTCCATTTATTCTCACCCGCTTTCCCTCTAGGAGAATGTTCCTTATGAGGAGGATTTAATCTGAAAAGGAGCCATGCCATCAGTGAACCAAAACCAAGCAAGTGACAATACTGTATTGCCAATACTGTATTGTCAATCAATTGACACCCCTGGAAGATAGCAAGCCTTCTTTGACTCTTCATGTGCATTTTCGTGAGTCCTAGATATCAACTCACTATGGTGGCTTGGGGGGGGGGGGGATTGGAACATCTTACACATTTGCCAACTTCCAAGGGTGTCAGGTGAAGCAGAGGTCAAGTTCCATATGTCAAAACTGGAAGAAAAATGCAGCATTAATGACATCCAAATGCATATCAAGGAGTATAGAGTGTGAATTGACCTCAAACTGAAAGAGAAATCTCATCAGTCAGGAATTTCACACACTTGATGCAATGCATTTTAATTACTTGTATCAACATAAAAATCTTGTAGTTCTTGCTACTGTGCTATTTATACAAATTGGCTTCAATTACAATTGAAATCATTCTTTGAAAAGGCATTCATAAAAGGAGTGCAAAATACCCATTTACTCTATGATTCCACATGTCACTCCAGCAGCTAATGACAGAACTTCCTCATACCTCAATCACATTATATTTTGAAAGCCATCAAATTGCTTTGGCCAACAAGGGAGAATTTTAATCTTACTTTCAAAAACAAAGTTCAGTAGGCCATGCTCCATTAAGTCACATTCCACCTTAAAAATCTGAAAAATCCCACCCACGCAGTATTGGAAGGAGAAACTCTAGCTCTGAAACACCAATTGAAACACTTTTTTACATTATCTTCAAGCCCAAAAGCTATTTACATAGTCTGGTGCCTGTTAGGAGGTATGAATATTTGCTGTGTTTAATTGAAAATTGGAGAAAATGTAGCCACTATAACAAATCAACATGTAGCTATGCATATTGTACAGTACATATATTTCCAATATATTAAGAGCAAGGACTTCTTTAGGGATGTGAATAAATCCTCAACATAATAAAAACCTCCTTATAATAAAATTTTGTTCTGGTCCCTGAGACTATAACAAGGTTTGACTATACTACTTTTGCTTGCAAATGAATAGAAACGAACAGGAAATTTTCTCAAAGGAGCAAGCTGAGAACAAATTCATTAATGTCTAGTTCATGGCACAAGCCAACATCCCACCCACATAAAGACAAATGCCTGAATGGGGAGAGGGAATACATACACTCCATCCCTTATTCACTATCTCCTATCTTCAGTGGACTTCTTTCTGTCTTGCAAATTACATTTGGCAAGGAAATGACACTCTGTTGAGCATAAACATTTTTACTATTACAGAACAACATCATGTAAAAATAGCACAAAACTTGTGCAGAAATTGGTTTCGGCTTGACTCATGCCCAATACTGCATCATTACACAGTTTCTGCAAGCTCCCCTCAAAAATCACTTGAGGCAAAAAGATTTTGCAACAAGAATTAAGAACATTGCATACATTTTTGCAATTAATTTTCATCTCAGTCAACCCTTTTAAAACCAATTTTTGTACCTTTGAATCTTTCCAAATCTAGCAGTTATTGCAACATACATTAGCTACTTATTGAAGCACTCATGGAGCTGAACCTCTCTGCCTGAATTGAATCTTAGAACTAAGTCCTGAACACAAAATAATCTCATTTCCAGCCAAGTCTTGTTCTGGGAACACATTTCTAGAGGGACATTTTCTAGTAAGTCCTACTTCATTTCAAGACTTGCTGGAAATGAATTCTTGTTCCTTCAGGACTTTGCACAAGGAGTGATTTCAGAGCTGAGAATTGTACTTCAGTCTGAATGCTAGAAATATTATAAATTTTCATTCAGAAGGATGTAGCATCAAGTAGATGTAAGGGGAAAGTAAGGGTGTGAAAGTACAGTGTGTTAAAGTTGTGTCCCATTGCAATATGCCAATAACCTCAGCAAAAAAAATCAAAATCAGACATTTTTTATGTACAATAACAAGGACACTCAACTGATTCAGAATCATGTAATAGTTTTTAATATAGCCACCCTTGGCATGGATGACAAGGTTCAGATGACCCATGATAGCATAAGACTGATTTTCGCAAGTCTTCCTGTGGAATTTTCGCTCCCATTCTCAGTTCAAGGATAGCTTGATAGAATCCAAAGAACAGTGTTTTGTAGCACACACTTTGCTCTCTAAGATGAACCAAATTGAAAAATCTAAATCTGAAAATTTTCAAGCCACTCGGCATCAAGGGTGGCTTCTGAAATGGTCTGGGTCAGGATTACCGCTTATGGACGCACTCCGCTCGTTTTCGTGCCGAATGTCAACTCTGAAACATACCAGAAAAGCATCCTGGAAGACTGCCTGGTCTGTGGGCCACGAATCATTTCAATGGTGACAATTGGGTCTTCCAGCAGGACTCAGCACCAGCTCACAAGGCGCAGATGACCCATGAGTTGCTGTGGACAAATGTCCCTGCCTTCATTCTGACTTCACAATGGCCCCCTTACTCCCCTGATGTCAACCCTTTAGATTTTTCAATTTGGTCCATCTTGGAGAGCTAAGTGTGTGCTACAAAACACTGCTCTTTGCATTCTCTCAACCTATCAAACTGAGAATGGGAGCGAATTCCACAGGAAGGCTTGCGAAAATCATTTGATGCTTTCATGGGTCATCTGAACCTTGCCATCCATGCCAAGGGCAGTTATATTGAAAACTATTAAGTGATTCTAAATCAGTTAAGTGTCCTTGTTATTGTACATAAAAATTTTTTCCTAATATTAGTCTTTTTGCTGAGATTATAGGTGTATTGCAATGGGACACAACTATCTTAACACCCTGTATAAAATTCATAGCTTTTGAATAATGGAATTATTTTTTTGACATGCCACAAGAGGTCAGTCCAAAACAACAATGTTGTTGTTTTATCATATACATGACAATCAACAAAGCACAATAATTATTTTTCATTGCTATAAGAGATATAGGAGACACCAGTAAAGTTCAGATCAAACTCTATTTACTCAAAGGATACTCTTTCTTGACACTGCTGACAATTCATTGCACATTCTCTATAAGAACAGTCATTCTTGCAAAAAAAACTTAAAGCTAATTAATTGCACTCAATGTTTTTCTGCTTCAGAAAATAACCTTGATCAGTTAAACAAGTAAACTTAGCAGAACTGCTTATTTCCTCTATAATATTACCAGGATTGCCTTATCTAGATAGATTCATGAAAATGGGCCTCTGATTTGTTCAAGTATATATTTTAATGGGACAAACGCATCTGAAAGAGTCTTGTGACTATATTCAGACCAGGATAGAGACAGTAGGCAGCAAAACTGTATTTCATGCCTCTTCCCCTTAGTGTCAGGAATCTAACATGTCAAATGGGAGAGGTAGAGCAGGTCCCCAACGTTCACCCAACCTAGACCCAAGTGATAGAAGCACCTACCAAGGTTTCATATCCTAAGACCTCATGATTTCTGATGGTACTTGATTCAGAGAGAAGTTAGACTACATTGATATGCAATAAATACACAGGTTCCAGAATACCTCACTCAGGGGACTCATTGCAAAATGGGAAAATGTAAAAACTTATTCAAGAATAAAATTACAATTTGATTTGCTACTCACCCTGTTGCCAGAAGAGGGGGTTGATAGATTGTCATTGCAGATGTTGAGACTGGAGGTGCAGAGCTCACAGCAGGAGAATATGCCTAAATAGGAGATATGGGGTTGGAAGTGGCAACAATGAATTATTAACCTTTTGGGGTTCACACCTGAATTACCTCATGTTCATACAGAGACAAATTACAGAAAAAACTCCAAAGGCAGTGTCAACATATTCAAAATACTCTGATCCCAAAAGGTTAATCACAGTCTCCAGCCTAAAACTACAGAGTTAAAACTCACCTGAATGGTGACACCTGGCATTGAGAAGGGCTGAGGTACTTGCATGACCTCTTGTACTGGTCCTCCAGGTACTGCTACTGGTACTGATACAGTTGATGCTTGTTGATTCAGGCCTTGCATTGCAGGTAGCAAGTGATGAATGGAAACCTAAAAAAAAAATATTTTAGAGATGGTTCAACATGAACTGAGACATATAGCCAACAAATAAAACACCTGGATAGGTGATGGAAATTGAATATTTCCTTGAAGGAAGGAAGCAGTGGGAGCTGTAAACGTTGTAGCAGGTCTAGAGGATAGTACTGGTACTTGCTGATTCATAACAGGAACAGTCCCAATAGATGTCCCAATTGCAGACATTGGTGCCTGGCCAGACATAGGTGGGATGACAGAACTTACAGCTCCATGACTGACACTCACTGGATTCCACATCAGGGAAGGATTTATGCTTGACACAGGAGTGAATATTGCAGGAGCAGTTGTTCCTGATACTGCCGTCTGCCATCATGGAAAGAATGATAGAAGATAGATGAAGAATGTGATGTATTCACAAATAGACAGTCTCTCTGGCTAAAATTTGGCAAGTTCATGGATTGAGGGCTTACATGTAGGGCAATCTGGGAGGGAGGAGGGACATTCAATGGTGGAAGTGAAGAAACTGAAGGGACACCAGGTGTCTAGAAATACAAGCACAATTTCTTGTGATGAATTTAGGTCCCTAGCAAAGATATAAAGATAGAATGAAAGGAATCCTAAAATCTATGCAATGAACAAAACCCTTTCCCAAATACCTATTTGTTCCACTTTGAAGCATCACATAGACTTGAGTAGCCAGCCCCAGGCATACATTTTGTCAAGATTTATCTAAGATATTGAGGTAAATACATATGACTGGACCTATCTATAATGTTTCCCCTGAAGAGATTAAACTCAATTCACTTGTGTGGATGCTGCAGGTTGAATCAAGAGAGGAGATGATGTGAGAGCACCAGAAGCATCTCCCTGCTGAATCGGATGCATCAGTGGAATGTGCAGGTATGCATTTACCACCTGCGACTGAGATCCACCACCTGCCAGTACCTCCAAACCTGCTGGGCACCAGTCTCAAAAGTCATTACAGGAAAAATGAACAGGGATCTTGAACATGCATTTCTTCCAATGAACAGCACAAAATAAACTAGGATTTAGGTAGGTGAACTTACATTTGACAAATAAAAACAGTGGCACAGCATCATATTCACCACTAACCACAATAAATAACCTAACACTAACATATTGAATGGAAAACTATTTACTTCTGAAAGCAAATTTATAAGCCTATGACTTTCAAGGGAAAGATTCAGAACTGCAAGAACATGCTATGGATGAAATGCAAATTCTCTATGATTGGCATTTACAACTTCAGGCAAATACTGCTTTCGCTATACTTTTCATACTTTTTCATCTTTAACGTGACATACTGATTGAATAAATGAATCAGAAAAATTATCCTTTTTTTAATTTCACATAGAAAAGCAACTGAACTCAAATTAATTTTGCCTCTATCAACATGCCAAACCATAAGTAGCATCTACCACATTAAATTTAAACAAATAAAAATCTAGAAGTTCCCACCTGGCTGAGGAGTTGGAGCCAGAGACAAGTGAACACAGACCGGTAGAACTTCTTGTCCTGTTGGGATAAATTTTTCATATAAAACTGAGCACAACCCATCCTTGCACAATAAAAACATTAGAATGAGATAGGGAAAAGCCCATGGGCTTCATCTTTCTGAAGGTGACCACAGGGTGGTCCAAGAGAAGTGAGAATAGGCAGGACTTTCATGTTAACATATATTCTAGGCTGGATTAGTGAGATAAAAACTTCTATTCCTCCTCCTCTCATCAGGACAAACTCCACAATCAATAGCATAATAATAGCTCAAGGAATTTCCTTGGAGGTACAGGTAAACAATGTTGCGAAATACACTCTACCATAAACTGTAAAAATTGGATTGCTTTCATGAATGTGATCAATGTTTGTTCCAGTAGAAATTTTGGAAACTGTCTCACCCACTCACCTCCTTCATAAAACACAATCCAACTTTCATGGCTAATGGTTTTAGGTGCCTCTAATTTCCATGTCCCAACTCCACTTTTGAGCTTCCCAGACCCTTCATTCTCTCAACACTTCAATACAGCAATGAGAGTAACCATAACCAATACCTCAGTGAAGATCAAAGTTTAACAGGTCTATTCCTCTGCAGGAAAATGAAACAGCAAGAATATCCCCACAGCAGTAAGGCTTTGAATTGAATATAAGACATATCTTGAAATTCAAAACTCCTTATTCCAGTTCTCTTATATTTGGTGCAACTAACACACAATAAGGAAGAAATAAATAAAATTGGAGCCATCTGTGATCTACTCTTACATTACCAATTAGACATTCCAGGTGAAAGCTTCTCTTTCCCAAGAACAAGATAGCCCATCATTTTCAAGGATATTCTTTACATTTTCATCTGTCTATTCTCCCTATGTCACTCAAAATCCAAAAAACCTCTGAAGTTACCTGGAGCAAATGAAGAGGTTGCAGGATTCGCTTGACCAGATAGCACCACATGAACTGCCAAGAACCAAAGAATGGAAATTCACCATTTTACCACAATCAGCAATGCACACAATTCTGAGATGACTGGAGAGAAAAGAAGCCACTGTGGTTTGAAAGTCACAATGTTTCAAGTGCAGTAAACTGCAATTTCTCAAAGGTTAATTTCCTTACCCTTTCAACCAAACGATCAAGGAAGACAGCTGAACTATTTATCCATACATGCAAAAACTAGGCAACATTTTTCCTGCAATGTAAGACCTCTTATTTTACACTTGTAGCACATCTATACTTGATTGCTCCTCTTACACACACACAGTCTCTAGATATTGTCTCCCAATCACATGCAAGGTTACTCAAAAGCAAAAGCATTGCGATCCTGCTTTCCACGATGGTTCCTCGAATGATGTCAACTTCTTTGATTGTCCTTGGTGCAGTTGGTGTTTCTTTTTCGACTGCTGAGAGTCCTTTATCATGTTTCAAGATAGTCAGCATGTTACAGCATATTTCACACATTCCTGGACAGCCTGAAGTTGTTTTTTCATAAGTGGCCATACTCCCCCAACTATAGGGTTAATATGGCCTCTTGAGACCTACTTGAAAAAGACCCAAAGGTGCCATAACCATGGTTTTTTTTTTTTGCATATGCCTTGCTGGTATTTAGCAACGGAGATATCAATCAATATTTTAGAAACATTGTAAGTGTCAAATTCAACCTTGATGGCCATGACCAGGTTTCATTTTGTAGGGCCATATTCCCCAAAATTACCCTACACCTCCTAGCATTTAACAGCCATTTTGTCATAGAATGGGATGTTAAGGTACTCATGGTTTTATGAGGTTCAGATGATCAGCACATGATATATTCATGTAACTTTTCTTTCATGAAAACACAGGCTCCTTCCAAAATCCCCACTGAATGGACAGGCCTGCATTTCCAGGACAGAAAAATCTAACCATGAATTTCATCCCCAAGCCCAAATTTTAACCCTAAAGCAAAAGCATATGAAGAGCAATCCTGCCAGATAATCTGTTCATAATATATCAGGCCTAGAAAGTGATAAAATATCCTTCAACGTAACAATTGCGGCAACACGGCTACTTAGTGCAAAGAATAAGTTTTGATTGTCAAAAAGTAGGAGTCAAAACATGTAATTAGGAGTTCAATCCCTCAAATCACTCAACTTGGAAAACACCCATTCAGAGATCACCTTGAAGTTAAAATTTGACAGCAAGGCAATTTTTACCTGGTGCTGAGGAAGTGAGAGGAAGATGAGCATTTGGAGGAACCAAATGATTGATGAGCGTGACAGTGGAGGATGCAGTTGAAAGATGTGGGGGGGGCGGGCAGCTTGAAATCGTCTTCTCATGCTCCACAAATTCTTTCCCCACTGTCTCAACCAAATTCAAAGCCAAGTCTTTGGCTTGTTCCAGCTTTTCCAGTGCTGCATGCCTAGGAGATGATAGAAAAATGTATGCCAGAACTGTTCTCTGAATACCAGGGTTCCATTAAAATGTGAAAATTGCACATATTAAGTAAATCATAGTGGAACTTTTCCTATCAGATACTGCAGAAAACTTACTCAATGAGGAGATGAAGGGCTTCATTGGAGGCTTCTTCACCACAGCCATTGCCTGTCAGTTTCACAGTTGCCCCTGTCTCTGAGGCAATGTACTGAATGTTGGAGCCCCCAGTGCCAAGAATTTTCCCTCTGACATCAAATTGGAGAGACTCAGCACGGGCAACATCAATGCCAACAAACACCTTTGCCTGGAGGATCTTTCCCATGACGAGCGATTGTTGTAAGCTGTCATAGGATGACTTTGAAGATGGATCTCCATGAGATGACCGGGCGTACCTCCCAATTATTTCATGTATTTTTTTCACAGCCACTGCATCAAGGGAAATGTTTAAAAGTTTTAAGGAGTCTGAAACATAAGACTGCTTGCATAAAATTATAAATCTTCCTCCTTGCCTGACCATTTATAGACATAACAATCTTTGGCTGATATTCAATATCAGTGTCTTAAAATGCCTGATTCCATGATTTTCCATCAATTTAAATTATTCCATTTCAAAGGGCAAGTGAATCACTTCAAGTGAATTTACTTCCTCTGCCCTGTCGTATTTCAACTTTTACACATGAATTCAGCTTTATTTGTCTAATATATCATCTACATTAAGAAAATGGGCTAACAAGAAGTTCAAGTTCGACGTTTTGGTTTCATTTACTTTAATATCTTCTCACCTGGTCAGAATTTGATTCCATATTAATATTGGACATATCACATTCTCTGTTGAGGATTCTTTCTCTTTAGCACTTTGGGTGAAGCATGATACAAAGCATCATTGATGTTATTTTACCTCTGATTACAATATAATTCAGGTTCAGGCCTTGAAGAAATACTGAGTTCAACTCACAGTCCAATGCATAAGGTTCAGATGCTTGAACATGAAGATAGAGGGGTCTGTCTGTATGATTCCGGGCTTTCTCCTCAGGTGTCATGAACCTCCCCCTTGTTGAAATGGCTGCTCCTGTCTCTCGGTGAAGCTCATCCTACATATACAGCATGCCAAGAACATATTATCAGAAAACAGTTTGACCAACTCAAACTCAGGATCCCAGGCTGGCTCAGCCCACTGAGCAAATAACCCACTTCAGTTACTGAAATTACTCCAACTCGATAACAAGCCAGAGCCTTTAAGAATAAAGAATCTCACACAATATGTACAAAATGATTGGACTAGAATGGAATTAAATTAGGTTTCTGGCTCAACATTCCACTTCCAGCAACTTATACTTACCTGAGTGAGTCCCCTGGTCAGGACATTCCTTGCAGGTAAGGGGGCATCATTGATCTCAACTTCAGCACTCCTCATCATAAGTCAACTGGAAGAGGAGAAACAAATATCAAAATGCTTAGCAAAGGATAAGGATGATGTTCATGTGAGTCTCCAGAGGATCATTCTCCATGTGTGCATCTATGAGTTTATAAGCAAATCTATCTGGCAAAAAGTTCTTAAAAAACTTACACAGAGAAATAATGCAATGGCCAACTAAGATTTGAGCAGTACCACTTTCTCAAGTAAGGACATCATTATTTCAAAAGGCAGTGTCTATGATTATTATAGCCCTGACTTAAGGGAAAAGATGGAAGTCTCCTGACTCATAATTTCTCCTCAGTTGATGACTTCTACATTCTATATATAGAGCTTGGCCTCTAAGTTTTGGCCAAGTTGGCTTTCTGAAGTGAAAGCAGGCATCTAAGGTTGGACTTAAAAGTCATAAAGGCTGTTGCACATTCCTGTGATGGCTTTCATCATGTTAAAAGTGCAATGTATATTGTTTTCGGCAAATTTTGCCAAAGAGTACCTATCAAGATGCAGGATTTCACATGTCATACGGGTAGAGAGGACTCACTCAAAGCCCAAGTAGTATGCATGAAATCGAGTCCTTAATGGGTGACAGGCACCTGTGAGGCTATTTGAAGCCTGGAATTGCTTTGTTCTTTAGTATATCATTTAACAGATGAGAGACATTCATCAGTTCCATTTGTCAACTAAGTTAATATCACACCAGGTGCATCATGATAATAAAGAATTACCTCACTTCCCAATAGGCTACCTAGTTTTGTGCTGGCAGGTCAAAAGAGATTGCTCAAAATCATCCCACAAGCAAACACCTTCCTTTACCTTGAAAGACATGCCTGCATTTGTGGGCTGTTGGAAGCATTGTGATGTTAGGACTAATGTTTGAGATTGAGTTCTTGAATTTGTGTTTGAGCTATGAAACAATTCATAGCTCAACCTTGAAATCTAGCTGAGCCAGCTCAGCCATTAGACTCTCCCATTTCAGAAGGCACAACAATGAATGAAATTCATGGCGTTTAGGCCTATACTCAACCCAAAACACAAAAGGCTTAATTACTCGTCTATGCCTCATAAAAGTCAGCCTGTCTACCAGCATCGCGATTCAACACATCGAAATGGACGAGAAAATAAACCTCCCGACACGACGCGGCAACAAGACGGAAAACACGAGACCTCATTTTCTAACTTATGCGAGTTGACGAGAATCGGCGGGACAGGCCTACGCAGGCATAGGACCTACCTCAGCGTAGTTCAGGCCATAAAATACGTTTCAGCTGCGACGTACCCGGTATGGACCGGAACAACGAGGCAGAGAGACAGCTCTGCGCCTGGGAAACAGAAATGGAGCGCGCAGGCATCTTGCTTTCCCGTAAGAGTAGAGTCCTCAATGGGCCTTTTTTGGCTTTGTTAGCTAACCCGATCGGACCGCACCGCCGTACGTTATCACCTCTAGTCCACAAAAGCGTTCGAAAGCTGAATGGGCATGGAATCTCCCTTTCGCGACTGGTTCTCACTTGTGGGCTGCTCAACTAAACAGACTCCTTTTCACACTCGCATGATTGTACATGTGGAAAACTCTGTCCCCCACAGCTGGCACAAGGCAGCTGCTCCTCTATCAAGAGCACAGACTGTCCTGGCATGAGCACAAATGCATGTTCGGTTTAGCACAGCCGCTGATAACGCCTCCGTGCCAGATACGCTATTCCCAGAAATTATATTTCGGTCGGCTTTCATGATCCGGTTCGACCACAAAAGAACCTTCCTCCTTCAAGCAAGATAAAAATGTCACAGCTGCTTTTCACCTCTGATCCAACAATGCCAGAGCAACGCCACCGCGATTTCATTTCACTTCTTTTCATTGCATTCTTAATTATAAAATCACAGCCCCATCAGATCCATAAAACGCCGTAGTCTTGCATAGCAGCTAATGAAAGCCCAGGAAGAGAAAGGGGGGGGGAAGACAACGGTGTGATTGAGGTGACATGCGAAAAAATGTTATCTTCCGGCTCTCTGGTTTGGAAATACCTGCAAGATCAGCAGAAATGATTAAGCTTCTTGCCTCCAGAAAACTTCAGTTCGCAAGTCGGGTTGACCCGTTCTAAACTCTGAGAGTCCACCTTGTAATCGGGACACAAATGTTGCAAGCCGTGAAACAAGATGTGACACCGTGTAATGTTCCAGGGGTGACCCTTTGCCCCAGGAACTGTCGAGGGTGCAAGAGAAGCTTTCCGTATGTGCAATCGTAACGAATGACGGGGAAGGGAGGGGGGGGGGGGGATTAGAGAGCTGTACGGGTCCCTGGTTTTCTTGCCCTATTTCCTCTTGTCCGCATGAATTGTCGTAGTTCTCTTCTTATGATTGCAGGATTCCTGGAACTCTAACTTCGCTTTGAATTCCAGCTCTCAATCTTTCCTAGAGATCTAATCCGAGCCGTCGGGCATGAGAAGACAGGAAGAACGCTCTCACAACAGAAGTTCTCTGCCTAAGATAGGGGAGGAGAAAGGGGAAACTTTTATTTCCCCTTCAGATGTATCTCGATAAGCCGTATACCGGATCGCATGCTTTGTCCTCTATCGCCTTTGGGGTGGGGTCCGCCAGAGAAACCCCGCAATAAGTGGTCCCGTGCAGGTCTCTAAATGGTATAGGACGAGACAAGCACACGAAGCGACAGCTAGTGAGAGATGGGAATAACTATTTCAACACCTGCCCTACCTCGCAGCAACCCACAGTAACCAGGTGGAAAATTCATCAGACTCCGCGCAAAGAAGTGACATGCCGTGAAAGACATGCTGAGAGATGCATGATCGAAACATGAACCCTGTCGGCGTCAGCAGGTTTAATTACCCGGGCCACGAACTGTTACCGATTCAAAATGCCTCGGATCCAATGAATATTTTTAAAATTATTGCAAACAACTGCATTGCACTTACAATTGTTGGCGGTAAATCGCCTCATAGAATGAAATCCAGGTTCGTAACCTGAACATGACATTTAGAATTTTCCTTAGTTGTGGCCATGTAGACAAGCAAGATGACATTGCTTTTGCATAGTCATAATTGGTGCCACAAATATCCTCAGGCCGCAATTAGAACCTCTTTCTAGAAATGTCCATGTTACAAAATCGTAAATTTCGAACAATGAGGCGACTAATACTCGTATGTACTAAGTACATACTCGTGCTATATAGCTTGCTGAATGCTGCATCTCCACGCTGTACAGAAAAATCCAATCAACCATGTCCAGTAGCTGGACTGCAATCCTGCGATGCATCAAGAAATAAACTGTGCAGCAGAACCGATAGAACAGAAACCACCCCTTCATTCATAGAATGCAGTTGAACATGCAGTCCAGCAGGAGTATAAACTTGTACGTCAGCAACTTTAAGTCATAGTTAATGCAGATCACACAAATGAACTGGCGACTGTGGTGCACGATGGGATTCAGCATGGATTCTCAGAATATAATTCTCTTTCCCTGATCTCATCCCCTCCCCCTTTCCCGCTACGAACTATTAAAGACGATTCATTCCTCGATGGTGAGCATGCTTCCCATTAAAACTTCCTTTTAGTTTTGGCAGTGTCCTCGATCTTCCGATCCTCGATTTTCTTCTCCACGAATAAACGCGATGGTCACACTGGTTTGACCCAGTCTGAACATGATAGAATACAAAAAGGGATACCCAAGGCCATCACGTTCGACCTCGTACATTTTCTTGAGTCCGATGACCTCTTGGGCAGTAATTTCACTAATCTCTAATCTCAGAAAAGGCAGGGACTTTGGTATGCTCAGAAGCCTGAGAAGTCCGAAAAAGAGCAAGGCCAAAATAGGAATGCGGGGAAAGAGATTATCAAACAAGGGCATTTGTGAATAAAATTTGGCAAAGTATCAATGCCATAATGATCTGGCTGAGCATAGTCTAGTGTTGCCTAGCCAATAGGTGAAATTATCCGGGCGATCTTCCTTTTGAGCAAGGAGGGTCGAGAATGTAGTTCATCTCCCTCGAGAAAGTTGAGAACGTTGAAAGGTTTGCTTCGATTCACCTCTAACGTCCCGAATAAGGTCACATTGATTAGAAATTTATTTGAAAAATAGTTCCTCATTTAAAAAAAATTCCTGTACGTTCAACCTCCTCCAGACGAGTGGATAAGCAGTGGAAGGAGCCTATAGAACAGGGCAAGTCGAGTCGTCTCGAACAATGGCAGCCTTTTGAGCCTCTCTTATGCGCTTCTGGCCCTGAAGTTTGTAGGGCAGTGGGTGCTAATTGCGAGGAGATACGGCGGCGAGAGGACAAGCGCTTCATTCATCATCGCGACCCCCCGTCTTCTGTTGTGAAAGAAGTTCTCGTCTGTCTCCAAAGGAGAAAAGACAAGCTGAACGAGCCCAGTTCAGAAGAGGACCTCCTTTAATGACCGTTGAGAACCGAAGGAGGAATTGGCGGGCATGTAGACGTTAGGAGATGGAAGGAAAACAGGACGTTTATAAAAGATCCATATAAGTCTCCTTAAATGATTGCCAGATGTGACATAACGCGGATCCGGCTAGCAGACCTGACAGTCACGTGCCAGCATCCATCTCCGATTGTCAACAGTAGATACGTAAGCCACGAAAACTGGAAGGAAAGCAGCTGTTATGGTCGATGACGTGCCACCCCAACACAGGCTGAGAGCTGCGCATGCTCATTCAAGTGAATGTCTCTGAAGGCTGACGCTCAAGGGGGGGGGGGGGGGGGGGGGGGGGACCCCCCCCAGATCAGTGCAGAAACAGGGGGGGGGGGGGGGGGGGGGGGGGGGGGGGGGGGTCGGAGAGACTCCTCCCAGATCAGTGCAGAAACGCGTTTTTGAGGTGGAAAGGCTTGGAATGAAGGGCATGCTGTGTAGGTAGACAGGGTGACGAAGCGAGCCTGTGACACGGGAAATCGTGCAAGATAGTTATATCGCGAAATACGAAAATTAAGGAAATGCCCTATACACTGGAAAAAAAAAACCTCTTTCTTTGGCATGAACTCATTGGTGTGAATTCGACGTCCAGCCATCTTACATTGGATCGGCGCTGTCATGAAAATGCATTTTTTCGGGCTATATTTTCGCAATTTTTTCACTTTCCGTTCCTAACGATCGAGGTTCACCCTCGTTGTATTTTCCCTGTTCAGGTGTCTCAGGTGTCCTGGTAGATATGAAGATCATAGTAGCCAATGGATGGATATGCTCTTGATAACTTACTTCACAGTTGAGTATTTGTGAATACTCCTTTGAGGACGGGTAATAATAGACTTTTTTTTGGAGATCTTTGATGACTGTTCCTTCATTGCATCATCGGAGTGAAAATAATTTTTCTCAGCCTCAGTAGCCTCTGTGCTCTCTTCAGCTTCTCACGAAGGATTTCTACCTGTGAACAATAACCATTCCGCTGCGATGATTTTATGTCGTTGTTTACATCCTCAAGATATGAGGAGACCAGCTGGTCCTCCATTTATTGAAATGGACCGTTAGAGCGTCTAAAGTGAATGCGGGAGATGGCGTTGTATCCAAGGCCAGATGCTCTGCTGGAACAGCATCGTTTTTCAAGCGCCCTATGGCGTTTCGATCATGATAGGCATCTAAGAAGGGATGCGAGCACACAAAAGCATATCTGGGGATAGATTTTCTTCCAAGCACTTGAAGCCATTCATTTTTCTGTCCAGACTTTTGGAAATTCATGGAAGGAAATATTTTATGCCTGCCGATTCCTATAAGTATCCTTACATGATGCAACAATGCAAACCTTGCCACTGTCCTTCATAGCAAATGCTACAAGGAATGAATGAAATGAAGGAACCAAAGAATATGATCGAAATAAACGAACAGATCAGCAATGTACAAGGTATGTACTGTACAATGCAGTCAAGGGTGGCTCTGACAAACGCGAGATTGTATTACGGCCGTGAGAGACGAGAGAAAGAGCGCGTGCGACCAATCTTGGCCTTAACCAGCGAGGTAGTGAGTCGTCAAGGTCAAAGCGCCCAACTTCATGGTGGAACGGCTCGCTGATGTCGTCACAGGCTCAAGATTTTACTCCCCTCTCTCAGACCCCCCCCCCCCCCCTTTGCTGACGCTGCTCAAATGCCTTCCTCCCTGTGAGCAACTTTCGGTATTCAATATTAGCGATAAAAAAATCGTTTCTGCGGTGCGGATTTCGCGAAGAACCAAATTAGCATTGCTTAGACCGTGTCTATCTTGATACCAACTTCCCAGTGATAATAGCATTTTTATAGTCAACACCGAAGAAAACAAAAAGAGACAGAGAGACAGACATACAGAACGTGACTTAATTGTGTTGAATGGTCTCCTTCCTTCTCGGAAGAGGAGCCCCCTAAAATAACTAGAGAGCAGGTCCCCTGACGAAGGTCCGCGTCAACTCGCGCTATAAGCCCCTTCCATCGCCTGCGGATGTTTTCTCCCCACCAAGGGGATTTCTCGACGAGTCAGTTTTATGTGAAGCCTAATTTTCCTCTTAGATTCCTCTTCAGTGCAACGAGGGGCAGCCGTCGAAACCTCCTTGTGGAAACCCTTCCCCCCCCCCCCCCCCCCTCCCCTTCGCCCATGCAAGCAGCCTTCGAATGGGATGGGACACGCGGAGGAGAAGGGTATCATCCGCCTCTTTTCTCGGTCAAGAACATCCGAAGGTCCCAGCGGGACTGGGCAGAGAATGAGGAAGGGGGCGCGGATAATCGAAGTATGATGAAAATCTCATTGCTTTTTTCCCTCTCTTTTGCCCTTTCTGCATCAGTACCGCCGTTTCACCTCCAGAGAATTCTTCCAGATTCGCTGGATATCGAGCTAATTCAGGTTCGGAACACAAAGCAGATTCGAATCGAGCGGTTTTTACCGATTCGAATCGATTCGTTTATTTTTATTTGAAATAAAAATAAACGAACAAACGAATAAAATGAACGAATCAAACCGTGACGACGGGAATAAAGATTTGACGCCATAGTTACTCATTACGAAGGACGGATCACAGTCAGCTGAGTTGAGTCGGGAAGGATTGAGAACGTTTTAGTATTGGATTTACCAGGAGTTAAAAAAAAAACGGGAAAAAAAGACCCGGATTATTTCTATTCAGTCCTCGTTCTCATAATGCAACACTCCCGCCGATGGAAATTACCAGGGGACAAACCGATCCAAAATAAACCGCGGGAACAGTTTTCTTTAAGTAACTCATCACGATGCAAACCGAATCACAACGTCCACACGAAAAAAAAAAAAAAATTTAAGATGCCTTCCATCGGCTCGAGTGCACGTCGAGGGGACCGACTTCATTTTCCCTCTCTATTTCCTTATAATAGACGCCACTCCAGCCCTCTCCACTCGCGCCTCCTTTTAATAAACACGCATTCAATTTGGCCGAATGGTCCGGGATAGGAAATGAAGTCGGGGGGACTTTTTTCATATTTCCCCCTCGGGTCGAGGCCGAGGAGGAAATTTCCATATTCTTCCTCAGATCTCGAGAGATAGACGGAAAGGGAAAAAAAAGGAAGGAAAATCCGTTCTCTGATCGAGGCGTTCTCAATAATAAAAAAAAAACTGGAGAGAAAAAAACTCGGGGAAAATGCAGACGTAACTCTGTCGACGGTAATCGGATTTCAGTCTCAATTTCCTTCATCGTTCCAAGTAACCCGTACACGTGGCCCAATCTGCACTCAAAATATCGTCGCCATTAATAGAAAGGAATTTGGATGAAATTACAACCAGGGAGAAGCAGGCGTAGGGCCCCCAGACCTATTCCCTTTCCTCGCTGCCTGCCAGCTTCATTTCTGAGAGCATTTGGAGGGAGGAAATTGAGTAATTGTCCTTGTCATTTGAACACTGAATAAATTGGTAATCGCTCTTCCAAGGGCTGTGAGGGATGCAGGATCTCTTTGTGCATTTATTCATTTCATTTCATTGATTCGCATACTTAACTATTTTCTACCGAGCAGCTGTTTCTTGGGGCTTTCGGAGAGCGTTATCCCTGGCAAAAGAAAGAAATGAGCTCGTAGAGCGGGACACGTACCCTTTCTTAGAGACGTGTTTGTATTGGAAAATGAAATCTACTGAGAAGAAAACCCAGATTCCAAAGGTTTCTCCCCTTTCTTCACTCCCTCCCTCATTTGGGCAATTCAATTTATAGTCTCCATATAGGCCTACTCAATGAATGACCGAATGACCCTTAATCACGAGAGAATAAGTCATTCGCGAATGAAAATAGGCATTGGTAATAAATATGCCCCATTCCCAGAACCATTGTTCAGAACGTATCTAAGCTTACCTTTTCCCGGCAAGTCCCAACCCTCCAACAACAGATTTAGGCCTACGATGGATTCATCTGGAGCTTGTGAAAGCACCCGGACTCGGCGTCTGCGGACAGCCATCCCCTGTCGTCTGCCAGCACCTCCAGCGCCATGCTGACATCAGTGATGCCCAGAGATCGTCCATCTCCCACGGGGCATGTCAATTTTCCTCAGCCTAGTTGCTGTCATTGCTACTCTCTCATATATCATATAGTTGTAGCAACAATGAAAGAAAATGCATTGCCTTTGGCGAACATGGAAGATTCGGGCACCGTTTTCATGGAACTATCATCGACTTAATTGAAACTTAATATCAGGCAACTATGGTGATTGATGGGCAGATCTCCAAGGATTTCATCGGATCTCGTTTGTTCGCCTTCATGCAACAGCAGATCGCAAACAACGGGAAGGGCAGGTATTTCTCTCACTAAGTCCATTGCTTTTTACAATCTATGGTATCTTCTTCGGAAACTGAAGGTGTGGCTTCACGGTGGAGTTTTCCTATCAAGCCTCTTAATGTGCTGTTGGACATTCGCGGCTTTCGATGCGGCCACCAGTCTTCGCTACCATGGTTGCTGGATGTCGTACTCAAGTTTTGTCAGGTCGGTGAGTGATGCTACTTTATTGTCGGTGTTCGAATCCTATGCTCACGACGCATAATATGTCTCCATGTAAACATCTTGGAATGCGTGACTGAGAAGGCGATTTGCAGTGTCTGATAGGTGTGATCCATCACGAACCACACCGCCCATGGACATCCCTGACTAACGCCTTGCGTTGGTTCGAACTTCGGAGTCGGGGGCCCACAGACGTCTTCGAGATGGTTCAAGAAACTCTACAGATAGGCTCATCATCGGCCTTTTTGAGACTCCTTTGGCTGAAGCAAGCCAGGCCTGGACCTCACCTGAAGACAATCTGTGGGCGTAGGCGTAGTAAGTCTCAATGTTTATTCTCATTCGCAATTAACTAATACTATAGAAGAGTTTGGGTCGTGCGTTGAGTAGGCCTGTATTGATTCTACAAATTACACTGCCCGTATAGGGGAGGGGGAGAAAAAAAGGGGACAAACTGTTGAAAAGGATTTCTAACATTTCCCATCGATTTTCACATTCAGAGACATAACGTTAAATAGTTTGACCTCTGTCCGCAACTCTGGCGATCCAGAGTCTCTAACAATGTGCTGGCGACAGCGAGTGTAAACGGCGCGGTCTGTTTCCAGGATTTTCTGTCGGCATGGGATCTCATTGGTTTTTAAGGGGTTGAATGAACACGGCAGGGTATCATATCCCTTGGTTTGGATTAAATGGGCTCACTGACCGTCAAGTGGGCCAATTGTGATGCTTCTCCCAGTTTCAAAGGAAGGAAATTTTATTTTCCCTTCGCAAAGTCTGACAAAGGGCTTCCCAAAAAGGGAGACTCGTGCAAATGCATTCGTGGATATCATCGACGAGTTCTGATATAGAAAAGTTAGCGCAATTGGCGTATCTTTCTCTGGTCAAACAAAGCAACACTTTGTGGACTTTGCCCTTCCCGACGTCTGTTTTGTGCCAATCTGGGGCATTCTCTGTGAAAACTAACATTTAAAAAAGCGTTTGATGACATCACCGGGTCGTTTGATCGTGTATTTCGTGCATCTCAGAAGTAAACGGAAAATGAAATCGAAAATGTTTGTGACAGAAATTGTTTTCCTGTTTCGTGTCTTTACCATGCCTTCTTAACGGAACTGCACCGAAACGAAACCGAGAAAATTCCGCCTGGAATGGAAGCCAGAAAGGAAAATAATGATTTCCTATTATGTATATATATAATATATATAATAAAATTATATATAATGATTTCCTGTTTCGATGCTTTTTGCGAAACAATGCTGTCCTTGCATTTTATAGTAGTATCGTTGCGATAGCCACGACTTGTTTTATGAAAGCCGCAAAAGAATAAGAACAAAGAAATTGACAGTTTTCCGTAGTCTAAATCTTTTTTTACTCAATCTTACGAGACTTCCATGACATACTATTATTATCATGTTTTACATATTATTATCACATAAATGCAGTCCCATGACCTCAACTGTAACGAACGATCTGAAGGATCCTGAAGGACCCTGTCGGACGACCTTGGTAACGATCTTGGCCTTCGTAACGACCAAGACGAGGAACTGAAAGGCGAAGAATGGAAATTCGAGTCTCCCTCTTGTTTCGTAGCGCTCACCATCGAGCCCTCAATCACCGTCGCAATTACGATTAAGGAACGACCTTGAACCGTTCCGAACGAGAAACGATTCAGTGGCTTACGGAGGGCAGAAACGTAATATTAAAAATATAAAAAAACAAACAAACAGGAACAATTGAAATGGAACATTTAACAGAAGCTCTCAGAACCGGAACGGAAAGGCAATTTCAATCGTTCCAACGCCCTCATTTTGATTTTCCCCGTCCCTTGGAGGCGATGCAGTGTGTTCTCGGAAAGTTTTTAGAGGGGGAAATGCAGTGCTGACAGACAGAGAGAAAAAGGCGAAAGAGGAGGAAAGATTTCAATCCTCCGCCTCCATCGATCATTCCCTGTCGGACGGGATCCCGTCCCATCTCGGAATTGCGGTGTCCATCCTGAACACCGTCTTCGCTTCCTTCGATTGCCTCGTCGGGACCTTCTTTGTCGACACCGTCCGAGATTGCCGGAGGGGCTTCGGCTGGGACTTCCTTGGAATCGTGTCGGTTGGGAATTGAAGGGGGGGGGGGAAACTGCTCGAGGCGGAAATTCGAAATGGAATCATGAGTCGGGAGTTTTCAGGGCGATTCCAGGGCAATTTATGCAGGATTCATCGGTAGAAGTATGTCGCCGATCGTTTCCATCCTCTTATGTTTCATATACCAGTTCCTCTCGAGTAAATGAGATGGAAAACTTCGTATGATCGAGAATTTGATTGGAAACTTCTGTAAAATATGAAGGGATCTTGAATGTTCTCATAAGGGATTGGAATCAATGATGAAAGTACGGGGGAACGGATGGAAACGGCGTTCCCGAAGGGAACATCGCTCTCTTGTCTCTTGCCAAAGAACTTAAATTATTATTGCCGAAGCGGACACCTGCCATCACAACCTGCTCCAAGTATTAATATAAAGGGATGGTTAAAAGGTGCGAGGGGACGGGGCAGGGAGGGGCGGAGCAGAGGATTATTCAGCCGCCTATTTTTTACCGTTCGCATGCTACGTCATATCGAATCATGTCACCGGAATTGAGTCTCGATCGGGCTCACCCTCGGTGCAGAGTAACTGCTATTGCGTCTGTCAGTGACAACTTACGTGCGGAGCTTAATTTCCACGGTAAATTAAACGAATGTGATGGGGAAAAGGGTGAAGGAAGAAGTAAGATAGAAGGTTGTTTTCCACCTGATGTGAGATCGATGAAGGGGGTCGAGAGTCAACAGAGTTCCGGGAAGTGAGGAAAAAAATTCTTCTTTCTAATGAGTTCAAATACACTCGGCACACGACTCGCTTCTGACTTGGTGTCACGTTCCTTCTTTCCTCCCCTCGATTCCCCTTCCATGCGCTTATTTCATGCTTTAAAGAGAGTGTCACGTCCTCCGCAACGGAGTCATCGCCGGAGAAGGAAGAGGGAAGCGAGCAGGAAGGCGGAAGCGCGGGGGCAATTGAGCAGGGCTGCGGATCCGCTTAGATGGAGGTCGGGCGCTCGCTCGCCCTTCCTCGCGTCGCTCCTCCTCGGCTCCTTCGTGGGGGTTGCCTTCCGCGCGTTTCGCAGGTCGACCACCGCGGGTGACGTCCCTTCTCCGCCTGCCGGAACAATTTAGACAATTAAGGCAATTTGTATTTTAAATTGCGGGAGGCAGCTGTGGGATGACGCGGAACTGGTCTGGATTCACTTTCCATGCAGTCGGATTCGCAATAATAATATGACGATATTGGTCCGTCATTTTGAGTAAATTGAAATAAGGTACAACATGTAAATATTCCTCTTAAGTTTTACCATAGTACTGAAAGGTCATCTTGAAAGGTCAAAAGGTCCAGAACCAGATTCATACAACGGCATCACTAAAAACGCAATTTATCCCAGAGAAACCGGGAGACGAAGAAATTCCATGAAAGATGAGATTCCGCTGAACTCCTCCACGGCAGCTGTCGCAACCATTTGGCCATAATGGACAACCGCGTGGCTGTCATCGCCAACTCCCGACCCCAATCCCCCCAAAAATCATTATTTAAACTAAAAAAAAAAAAAAAAACAAAACAAATAAGGGAGCAAGGCTCACCGCTGCGGGACGGAGTCCACGTCTTGAGCGTGTACCCGCCCGCGACGGCCGGGACGGTCGGGGCGGCGATGGAGGCCTTCCGGCTCGGGCCGAGGGTTCGAGGCGTCGTGGTCGTGGTCGTCGTGGTCGTCGTCGTGGTCGTCGTGGGCGGGTCCACCTCTGGAGAGTCCAGACACCAAGATCAGCTATGCTCGTAGAAACGCTGAATCGGCAAACCCTCAAAATCGACCTCATTTTTTATTATTGAATTGTGCAAATTCAGTTCGTGAAGAAGTGAGAACCTGCCAATTCGACCTTGGGACGCATTGCTCTCGACACATAGCATCATGGAATGTTGGATTTGACATCGTTGTTGAACAGTTGTCAGCACAAGATTTTTGTCTTGAAGAATTTCACACCTCATTAATTAGCGTTTTGCAGCGCCTATTCAATAACGGCTAATACGCGGATAGCCTCATTTCCCTTTAAATTTGCCCTAAATATTGGAGAAATAGCAATGACGCGTCTACCCTCAAATTTCAAAATTGTTTTTCGATTTAAAAAATTACAGGAAAATCTTGCTTTGACGATCTCGTTGCAAAAATGCGTCCCTTTTCCAAAGGCCGAAGAAAACTTGGTCACCATTGGAATCTATTGAGGAGAAGAATCTAAGAGATCCTTAATTTTCCCCAACCCCTCTCATCCCAACACGTTGAGAGATGAGGCGAAAGAGGCCGACTCTCCTTTGAATAATTCGGGGACAAAATCGACTCCGAATTCATATGGCATTGTTCTCACGAGTTAGGAGAAGCCTTGCCTAATGCCTTGTAGGCTAACGGATTAACGAATCCAAAACCTTTTGGTAAAAATGAGAGTAAAAGTCTCGTTGTGAATACAACAGAGAAAGAGGACTTCGGCAATACCGGCCTGCGAAGAAGGAAGGCATTGTGATTTTCCTCGTTTTACAGAGATCTGACTAGCTTTTACGAGAGTGCAATTCGTCTTGGATGGAGGCGCATGTCTCAAGGACTGTTCTTGAGCCGAAGCGCTGTGACTATTCAGGCCCGCGGCTAAAGACGGATCAGAGGGAAAACGAGGGCAGAGGTGGGAAGAGGGAGGGGGAGGAAAACATCTGTCCGCTCCAATGAAAAAACTTGCTGTTTCTCCTCAGAGGGGGGAGAGAAATAAGTCTTGCCTAGGGAAGGCCAGGGGCCCGTTCCTCGTCTCTGCAAAACTTTACTGTTTTCTTCTCAGAAGCCTGTTTTCAGTGCCACGAATCTCCGATACTAAACGGTGGATTTTTTTTTAATATTTTCACTCCAAGCCTGTATATCCTCCTTTCAAAGGCGGCAATCACTACTTCACTCAAGCCAAAATATTCCAAATGTGATCCCCCCCCCTCCAAGCGACCCTGATTCATAGCGGAAAACGACCAGCTACGATCCAGGGGTCTCAAACTCATGGCCCGAGGGCCGCAAACTCTCTCAATGCGGCCCGCGACCCACCTGCGTACACCGAGAGAGAAACGTTTCTGGTCCAACATACACAATCAGGGAAAACCTTCAGACTTTTTTTTTCACTTTGGCCCGCAGAGAGGTCCGATCTTGACGATGCGGCCCGCACACCGTAATGAGTCCGAGACCCCTGCCATAAGGCCTTAAATGCCTAGGGTCCACAACCCCCCCCCCCTCCACCCTGAGGAAGGAGAGGACGAACTGTAGAGAAGCACTTGAGTGGAGGAGTCGCCCATGTCGTTGAGGGCCGTGCAGCCATATGGGCCGTAGTGCTTCGCCTCCACCGAGGGGATGAGCAGCGTCTGTCTCCAGCGGGTCCCTGGCTCTCCTCCCCAGATATCCAACTCCCCTCCCCCGAACTCTAACTCCTCTTCCACCCTGTTGTGATGACCGGGAATCGCTCAGGAACGATCGCTCCGAAACAGGCTCGTAAACTCAAAAAAAAAAAATCGTTCAGGATTTCCGCCGCCAGCAAAATTACAGATGCCCAAAACACCCTGAAACAGAACCAGACCAGACGCCATCGTAATAGGCCACGGAGGGTTCAGATAGTGCGTTTCGGTCCATCTCTGGAAAGAACCCCAATGCTCGTTTCCACCATCCTAGGAACCCCCTTCCAAAGAGTCGAATGCCTTCTCAAAATCAACGGCCATGACTAGTCCTCCAATTTGTGACTCATCACATTCCTGCCGAAGGTCTTACCCTTTGTTCCCTTGAAATGATAGAGGGGGGGGGGGGGGGACTTTCTTAAGTCTATTTGCCAGACGAGCTGAGGTCAATTTATATTAAATATTTAGCAGCGAAATTGGCTGCCAGTTCGTCGAAAACTCCCGAGGTTTATCTTCCTTTGGGTTCATCCCCTTCGAGTGTATTGATGGACGGAGATAGTCATGCCGAATGGTGCTTCTTTGCGTTCGTGATTTTTTTAAAAACTAACTAGGAAGTTCCTGGTTGGAATGTAATATCACCCCAAAAGAGCTTTGTAAATAGGATTTAAACTTTTTTAATGCTCGTAAAAAAATGCTGCATTAAATGTTTTTAATAAAAAATAATATCCTGTTGAATTTTAGGAAAACCGTCACCGTTTAACGAGACCGGTTGCATTTTCACAGCCATGCAATTTCTGGTCCCCTCACCCACTCGAGGAGCCACAGACAAAATTCGGTCGAATCTCTCCCCAAAGAAAAAACGGTCAAACCCCCCCCCCCCCCCCCCCCCCCCCCCCTCCCTCAAGGCATAGAACTCACACGTTGGGAGCGTCGATGGGAATCCCGTTGAAGGCCCAGCTGGTCGTGGGCTTGGGCACGCCGGTCGTGATGCACTCCAGCCTCGCTTCCCTCCCCATCTCGACGCCGATTGCCGCTTGCAAGGCCACCGCTGACGGTGCATCTGAGTTCATACGTTCGCTTAAATATTCCTGCACTGGGGTCGTTGGTACTGGGGATGGGGGTCACATTTTTTGTCCACGTCCCACAATCGAGGGAAATCTTTCCCGTTCGCAGTAATTGCTTTTCCCTCGGTCGAGTGGTTCTTAAAGGGCTTCAATGCATCGAGAAGCCTCATGATGGCGCCTGCCCGGCTAGCAAATCAAATTGATTCGACGAATCGGGATTGATTCGATGTCGAATCGTTGCTTTGTACTACTTGGTTGTAGGTGATCGAAAATAGGTCTCAAGAATGGTTTTTTTTTTTTACCGAAATATTTTGCACAGAGGTGAGACAAAATGTGATCCACTTCCATGCAAAAAAAAATGGCGAAGAAAGTGCTGTGTTAATATTAAATTATGAGATTTTATTTCAATTATCTTTGACATGAGGCGTCGGTAGGCACACGCACACGTGTACACAAGCACACGTGCACATGCATGTATGTACATGTACATGTGTACACATGTGCACACACGTGCACACGAATTCCACTGTAGATGGGAAGACTTTCCTCGATTGCAGGCAAAAATGAGCCTTATTGAAACTTTTCCTTTAAGAAAAAATACACCCTCAAAATTCATTCGAAAATTATATTCTGATTTTAAAATGTGGAAAAAAATAATGAGCGCTGCAACTCAAGAGGCGGCGAGGCTGGGGAGATACGAGCTATGTAATTCAAAAAGAGCTTGAAGCTGAGTGTGGGAATACGTCCGCATACCTCTATATTTAATTAGTGCAATAATCGAGTAAAAAAAAAGTTATTAGGAAGTCATGTCAAATCCAACAGGTTCCTAGGAATAGGAAAACTTATTTTTATTATTATTTAAAAACAATACCAAACGCTTTTTAAAACTTAAATTTAAAATCATGCTGAAGCTTTTCTTTCTCTTTCTTGAAACCGGTCGGAACTGACAAATTTTAATTTTTTGCACCGATTCTCCTTTTCAGATGAAAAACATGATTCTAGATGCAGCCTCACATAGTACGGTGACCCGGATGCGTTTGCTGACGGCAGGAGGGACGTCGTTGGATGCGATGCACAGATACGAGCCGGCCTGGCGCCGGTCGATCTTCGACAACTGCAGGCCCTCGCCTTTCACCAGTTGAACTGCGGGGACGAGGGAGGCTTTCATGGGGGACGCGATTAATTTTTAAAGGGGACAGGTGAGTCAACGGGAGGACCGACAGCGGATCCAGTCCCGGCTCCCGTATCGCTGCAGGGAGTTGTGAGTGTCGGCCTTCCTCAGCTGGATGTGAGCGTCGTCTTCCCGCTTCCACTTGATCTCGGGATCGGGGTTTCCCCGCGCCCGGCACGACAGCTGGACGTCTTCGCCCTCCTTCGCCGTCACGTCGCTGCTGCTCTCGGCCTCGTTTATGCTGGGTGGCTCTGAGGAAACGCGGAAAATCCTGCCTTTTGTCGCGATAACGGCCCATTTTAACGGGAAATTTATCTATTTGGAACGAAATAGCTCGCAAAATTGTATTTCAAGCGAAACTTATTTTCCATATGCAGATTTATGCTACGTGTTTGCTCGACGACGATCGCATTGGGAGGAGAAAAATAGGGTACGATAAGACAGAAGAGGAGATTTTCAATTGCGATATTTTCAATTTGCGATTGGAAATTCGCGGATTCCCGCTCGAATCAGTTTCACAATCTATGCGGCAGGGACTTCCAGAATCCTTGAATCTTTCCTCAGCGGGAATTTTAAGCAAGAAATTCGCCCTTGAAATCCCCGCTGTCTGCGTTCGAGCCCTGGCGATGCCTGGGTTATTGCATATTCCTTACTGGTCACGAGAAAAAAAAAGTGGAAGTTGGGCTGTTGACCAGTTGATAACGTCTGACATCGAAGGTTTGGAATCGCGATTGAATTTTAAAATTGCTACACGAAAGAAATAATCATAAAAAACGCTAAAACAATTGTCAATAAAAACGAGAGTTAAAATCGCCTCCCCGTTGAACGTCAACCTTGCGGAAACAGGAAGGGAAAAAATCAGAACGATGGCATTCGCCGGTCATCGTGCTCGACTGGACGGTAGGAATTGTTCAAAGTAACAGCTCAAGGAGTGCTTATGGTCTTAAGGTCTTATGGTATGGTTTCAACCTGAAGGGAGAGGAAGACGTGCTCAGATTTGGCCAAGATAAAAATCATATTGCCTTGCCTGGCATCATTTTCAGCACTTTTCGCTGATTTTCGGTAGGGAGCGGCAGTGTTACCATCGATCATGATGCTTACGACGTTAGCAGCGTTTCTTTTACAACTCTACGTTCCCGTTGAAGCAAAACGCATCTCGTTTCTTGGCAGCTGAGCCATTGAGCTTTGAGAAATTGAAAGCCCTGTTTCCCTCAAGAAACACCAGGAGACCCAAGTCTACATAAAATCGCGCAAAAAAAATTGCTTGACGGCTTCCTCATGCCCATCCACACCGTACCCATCCACACCATGTCCTTCCACGCCATATCCATCCACACCATGCCCATCCACGCCGGACAGACCTCGAGTCCGGATGCACCCGACGCGGCTGAGCATCTGCTGGGCGTTGACCTGGCACATGTAGCAACCGATGTCGCCGGGGGAGACGTGCCTGATGCGGAGGGTCCAGATCCGATTCCCCTCGGTCGAGATCGACACTCGGGAGTTGTCCAGCACCACCTTCTCGTTCAGGGTCATCACGGTCGGGCCCTCAACCTCCTCTCGGACCCACGCTATCTGAGGATTGGAAAAGAGTCCGACGGTGCATGAAAGGTGCATGGAAGGTGCATTATGCACGCTCGACGTACCTTGTGGGTTCCGAGGTGACTGACACTGCAGGCGAGCACGGCGTCGTCGCCCAACGACACGGTGATGTTCTCGACCGGGGACAGGAACCGAGGATGCTCTCCTCCCGCATCTTCTGCTCGGGCGATTCCACCTTGACAGAGATTCGCTGCGGTTGCACGTGTGTGATCGCGTCGGAATAAGGAATTTTAGGCGGGGAGGAGTCGATGTCGGATCGATCGACTCATTAACGTCCCAAAGCATTAAAAAAAAAAATTATTTTTACTGCTGATGATGCTGAATATAGCCCTAACGACGTCATAACCAGGGCTCTTAGAGAGTCGGAAAAAAAGCTTGTGTTTTACCCGAGAGACATTTGATCTCGATCGAAAGCAGGAAAGCCTGGGAATGCATAAAGGTATGTGCTGATTTTTGCTGCAGCTTCGAGGCTTCGAGACCTATTTCCGCCTCTGCTCTCGCGAATCCCTTCTGCATATCGTCGTGGTACAGTTGGGTGGACCTGAACGCTAAGCCGGCAGAGATCGTGAAAACTTTTAGACCAAATCATGTCTTCTAGAATGTGTCAGATGTTTCTACGGCTGAGAGGCAAGATGAGCATTCGATTCGAACATTCGATTCGGGTGGGGCAATGCAGTGTCGGTACTGAGATCTCTATGTACTAGAGCACGACATTGGCGTAACTGAGTATGAATGGGCTCAAATGGACGATGGATGGGCTTAAATTGCCGATAGACAGACGGACATGACGGGTCATTGTCGGCCGGGTGTCGAGGAGAAACGTCGTTACTATCAATAATGGAGTCCCGAAAGTACTCGGCGGCTGGGTAAATACTTTGCGACTGGGTAAACGTCTTCGTTGACAGGACTGAATAGTACCTTCGCTGGAGTACTGTTCTGGGAAAAAGGGCTGATCATGAAGGTGAAACTTGGCGTCGCTCGAATGACCTTTACGTGATGTGACCTTTATGAAAATCCCAGCCAATCTGAGGTACTTCACCTCGTCTCAACGACACCGATTTCGAGCTCAAAAGTGTTTATGCGAAAGTCGTGGATTATCCGGGAGTCACTTCAATCCCAATCCCAGCTCGTAAACACGACTCGTGAGGTGATTTTTAATAAAGGCGCCCTATCGTCGTCTACGATCAAAATACATATTTTTGTATGCGACCAGAACGATCGACGGTGGGAAGACTCTGAGATTTTTGCGAGCGTCCTTGTCGGAGCCGTACGACGTAATTCGCAGGTTGATTTCGTCCAACGTCGAGTTGGTGGTCTGTGCTCGACCGTCGCGGAATTCAATCAAATTCGGCATGCAATCGGTTCTTGGGGAGTGTAGCGTTCGGCCGAAAGCCTAGGTATCTTCAGCGAGGGGGAGCTGAGATACGGCGATTTAAAGATTTGCCTCTAGGACGAAAGATGCCCGGAAACTCGACCAGAAAATAACTGAACATTGGGGTATAAATCCGCAACATCACGATAATGGCAAAAATATTTGGGTTCCTTCCACTGCCTGGTGCAACGCCCAAGAACAACTACCCCCCTTGCACCCCCCCCCCTCTTTCCCCCGCGCGACCCGCTCGTCAGCCTGTCCCCTTCGAGGTCCGCCTCTGAGCGATGGGAACGGGGACGACAGCATGGGAGCGATGCTCCCAAGGATCATCCCCGGCTTTCCTCGCGCCTCGTAAGAGATTGCTTCCGTGTTCTCATCTTTGCTTCCGTGTCCTCATCGCCTTCGAAGATCACCCCGTACTTCCATTCATTTTTTGGTCCATTTAGTACCTTTCGGCCATTCGCCACCCGGAATTTTTCCAGAAGCAACCGTCCATCGTTCGGCGGATCATTCGATTCCATCAGCCTCTCTCGGTACTTTCGGTACTTTCGGTACTTTCGGTACTTCGGTACTTCTTTCGGTACTTCTTCAGCCGGAACCCTTATCCCCGCGGGTAATGGCCTCAAAACTCGTGCCTCATTTGTCCAAATTGGATCCAGCAGTGGAGGCCATTTTTCGATAAAAAAAATTAACGAAATCCTTCAAAATTCCTTAAAGCATTCCCATCGTCTTTCCTCGTCTTTCCCGTATTGTTTCCCCTTAAAACGCATACTTAGCTGGGATGAGGCGCATCTAACCGGGACAAAGCACATCTAGTCATCGCTCTTCATGCAATTCCCAGGCAACGATGCTTCGGCAACGAAATTTGGACTCGGCAGGTGAATTGAGTTTCGCTGGTCGACAAAAAAAAAAAAGAAATTCATCCTGAAGTTCGATTATTCATTTAAATACGAGAGAAAGCCGAATGCCTCCACGTGGTTGCCTGTGATGGTTGCCTGTGATGGATGCCTGTGATGGATGCCTGTGAAGGATGCCTGCAATTGCCGGAGAGAAGGAAGGGAGAGAAATGAGTTGGAAAGACGATGGAGATTGAAAAAAAAAGGGGGGAGAAGGGTCCTTGGTCTCTCAGTGAAACCCGAGCCGGATTCCGACTTCGTTTCGAGGATCTGCCTGGTTTTTTCTCCGGAGATTAATTATTTTCGTAAATTTTATTAATGAATTACTTCATTTGAGTTTGCCAAATTAAGTTGGAAGTTCGTTGGTGACATTAGAGAGAACTAGTTAATTACTAGGTTTTCTATACTTTGAGACAGAAAAATCGAATAATTTTTTGCGATTTTAAGATTTGCAACATTTTTTAGAATTTTTTCCTCACTTTCTTTTAAGTCAGACGGCTTGATTGCAAAATGGCTGCTACCTAAGTTGCGTTTTCGCAGGAATTTCGCAGACTCTCAGGGTAAGAACAAGACGAAACTCCGTACCGGACTTGCAGCAGGAGAAGACGAGGAAAGCGAGAGCGGAGTGGAGCCCGAGGAGGCCGATCATGGCACCGCGGGACCACGTGGTCCGGCCAACATCCCACACTGCCAGCAGCCGATTGTCCCGACACCAGAACACGAGAGAAATTTCGAACCGGATTCCCTAAATTCGGCCCATTCGCCCCGCGCCGATCACCTCGGGATAGAACGTCCGCAGTGTCCGCAGTGTATTAGAGAGCGTCCCACACCCGGCACCCGTCTATAATGGAGAGTGTCCCATATCCGTCACTGCCTATAATGCGACCACTGTCCCACTGGAATCAGGGGGGAGGGGGGGGGGGGGACACCTTCATTATAAAGGAAGGGCCTGCGCCCCGTGTGAAGGATTTTTCCCTCAGTCTCCTCCCTCCCTCTCGTCTCACTTTTTCCTCTCTCTCTCTCTAGGGTTTCCCGAGCTTATTACTTGGAGTGGGGAAACCCCATTCATGGGCGGAAATTGGACGCCTATTTTCCCTCCTGATACACCATTGCAACTTTTTCTTCTCTTTTTTTCCTTCGACACTTGCGAACATATACTTGGGGGCTGCACTTAACTCGGCCTCTTATTCCGGTCGCCCAAGATTGGTTTCTTTTTATTCCAGGAAAACGAGATATTGGATCGACTTCGTGGGTAAACAGCCTCCTTGCTTTTCCCTGGTCCTCCTTCGAGGCGAGTGGCGACAATTGGCATTTCACTTTTTGGAAGAAACACTTGGAAGTCGGAAAAAATGGATCTCGTGGAGATAATGGACCGGGAAAAAATATTTCCTTGCGATTTCCGTGAGCGGGGTGGGGAAGGTGGAGGGAAGGTGGGGAAGGTGGAGAGCAGGTGGAGGGGGAGGCGGGGACAGGGGGAAGAGGGCCATTATGACGTTTTCATTAGGAGGGGCCGGTAGTTGCAAGTGCGAAACAGCAAGAGTGAAATGGCTTGAGTCATTGCCGGGGAAACGGGGAATCGTCGCAGGGAAATGGGGAATCGTCGCATCGGTGGATGCGGGATCGATTAGCCGTGGGCAAGGTTCCCATGCGGATTGAGTCACGCTGGCATTCTCTTTCCTTGCCTCGAAATTTCTTCCGTCGAATACGGACGAGGGGGAACGGGACGAGTTGCCCAGGGCGACGTCGGGCAAATCGTGCTAATCGAGGGAGAAGCGGGTCGGTTTTTATCGTGATCGGCCGCAATCAGCCGAGATTGGCGGCAATCACGTCAGCCGAGATTAACGGAAAAAATTCTTTTCCGGGGTCATTCGGGTACGAAAGCGAGATTTAGACAGGTTATACGAGACAGCCTTTGAGAGGTTCTGAGAAATGGCAGGACACTTGGTTACGTCAGGAGTTTCTAAGCTCTTTTCCGAGAAAAAGGAAAAGCTTCAGCGCAGCCGACTGATCCGCAGGTAAAAATTCTCGTCTCATTTAAATGGCAAGGGAGCGGAAAACGCGGGGGCAAGGGGGGCAAATTCCCCTCAATTGCTTTCGCTAATTGCTAATTCAAATGCTTTTTGGACGTTTTTTTTATCTTCTTTTGGCATCATTCATATTTGCCGTGAAAATATTTGCAATTATAAGTATTCGAAATTTAATGCGAAATATAAAAAAAAAACTAATTGAAAGTATCATAAATAAGCATCGACGAATCAATAAGGGGCCAGGCAACTCGGCAACCTTACCTCACCGAGCAACCCGGCAATATTGCCCCAACGGATCAGTGATCCCCGCGACGGCAAGTCCGATTCCGGGTCGCCGGCAGTTTGCTCGACGTGAGGGAACCGGAAATTACCCGCAAATCAGCTTACGGACTTACCTCGATGAGGATCTTGTTTGATGAGACTCTCGGGATCTCCTCCTCCCGTTTTCCTTCGCGACGCTTCTCTCATTTATGAGACCCTTCTCTCATTTATGAGACCCTTCTCTCATTTGTGAGACCCTTCTCTCATTTGTGAGACCCTTCTCTCATTTATGAGACCCTTCTCTCATTTGTGAGACCCTTCTCCCTTTTAAGTTCCATGAAATTTCCCGCCAAAATCTCAGGATTCTGGCGGCAACAAAGTCGAAATTCGCACTCACTTGAGGAAAAGAATAATTGATCAAATTAATTAATTGAATTAATTGTAAATTATTCAGAGTTTTCAAAATAGTCAGAATAACAAATCGGGGTCTAAGGTCCCTCCGAATGAAATGTCCCTAATAGAGCACCTTGCACGTCCCTAATAGAACACCTTGCACGTCCCTAATAGAGCACCTTGCACCTGGCAAGGTCTCACCCGTTGATCAACTTTTTAATGCTGTTCGCATGATGGGCGTCATGAAAATACGTTTCCTTGAAACGCGATGCAACGAGCTAGCCGAACGTTTAAGCTTAATTTAATTCACTTAAATTTTTTAACTTAAATAATTGAGAATTTTCTCGTTTCCCGATTCCAGTCCATGCGAACCCTCTCCCGGCGCGAAACTAATTATTTAAAAAAATCGGGAATCCGTGCAAATTTAATTTAAATTTTTTTATCGCTAAGGGATCAAGCAATTCTCACCTCAGCTGCCCGCATCATTCGCGCATTTTTTGGGCGGATACTTTAGAGTACTTGTAGAGTACTTGTAGAGTACTTGTCCGGCGCAGAACATTGGCACTCGTAAGTTGGCCGAGCGGAAGTCAACCTTTGACAGATTAACTCAGTTGGCCTGTTCGAAGACATGAATGCCTCCCATCGAATCTTCTTTCTCCTTTCAGTCCAAAGAAAAAAAAACTTTGAAGTACTGCAAATATAATAAAGTACCGCAAAACCGAAAGTATTGGCCCGCTCGGTCTCGCGGGATCGCAAAATCGATGGAATCTTTATGCAGACACGGAGAAGCACTAAGTCCGGGGGGCGAAAGCGAATGGGACATCGATCCCAGGGGAATCCTCCTGGGGAATCCTCCTGGAGAATCCTCGGGGGGAATTCAATCGTCCGTGGGAGTTCTTGCTAAATAGGGCTTCGCGCCTCGGGTGTGGGCGGGGGAGACGCCGATACACAGGGTGCATCAAAAGTCGGCGATCGCATTAATTAATTAATTGAAATTGGGAACTTATTGGAAATCGCCTGTCTTCTTCCTTTCACACGGGGACAATTCAGGGTCGATTTGGGTCACTTTGCGTCTGTCGGGTGCCGAGATTAAGGCCAGTGCAACGCGGCGATTCCTGACTTTTGGGACACCCTGTAGATACGCCGAGATACGCCAAGGCGAAATTCGTTTCTCGCCAAAGAGAACAGCGGCGGGCCGTTGCGGGAGGCAGAGGAGGCCGTTTCTCCCAGCTCCTTCTCTCCGCGTCGTCTGCTACTCGCCTTCAGCTGAGGTGGCAGGAAGGTGTGGGTGAAAAAAGAGTAGTTCCCATCTAAAGTGCAGGTTGTGTGGACGTTGTTTTGTAGCCGACGCCTTTTTTTCCGGTTTTTTTTGAGTGGAATCTCGATTTCTGCTACTCGTTTGTTTTGATGAAAAGCATTGCTTCCTGCCGGGATTGAATTCGGGAGGTCTATCCATGCCGGCGAATATGAGCCACAATCGCAGCCTATTTTGATCCTGATTTCATTATAATTAAATCTTGATTTAATTTTAATGGCTTGTGTCGAGGCACGATGCGCCTAATGTTTTATGAGAGTTGTCCATGCAGATCATGATTTTCTCTGCAGTCTCTTTTCCCAGCCCGATGATGCGCAATTACAAACGCAAGACTCTGAAGCGTTCAACACCTGCAGATACGATGATCTCCGGCGAGAAACGAATCGTAGATGGAGTCCATAAGTGCATCAGACCCCCCTCACGTGCATCGCGATATGCATCAGACTCATGTGCATCGCGATATGCATCAGCAACCAATTCAATCCTTTTAACGATGATCTTGGGGACGACCCGTCGAACTCCGGATACAGACCCCTGGCGTCCCATCTTCAAATACGACATTGTCGCTTGAAACCCGGAGATTGAGAATTTCGAAACAGAAGATCGAACAATTGATGCGAGTCTTCGAGCGCAGTGCCCTCTATCGCCTCGGAGGAAGTACAATGCCTCAGTTCATTTTTCCTGAAATGACCCACAAAAAAAAAAATTGATCCATGAGACAGCGAAGAATCGTTCTATCAAATATTTGTCCAAATTGATCTATTAGGAAGCCATGTTCATTATTTTTTTTTAGGACTGTCACGCTGTGTTTTTCGAAAACATCGAAGTATCGACCTGAAACATCGATAGGTCATCGACGCACCTGGGGGATTGGGTTTGCCGGTCAATTCAGTCTTTCCTCGCTTCGATCGGGGAGCGGAACTCCATCTGTATTCCGTAATCTCTCGTCTGTAATCGGGTAGCGCGGAGGGGGGGGAAGGGGGGAAGGGGGGGGGGATAACACCTTCGCAACGGGTAATAGAACCCATTCTATCTAAAATGACATTCATACGTCGATGGATGCATCGGGACAGCCCTAATTTCTTCCTGTTGCCGTTGAGAATCAGTTCCAAGCCCCTTTCATGTTTTTCCCCCCGTTTTTCTTCGTTCTTCACGTTCTTCTTTGGACATCAGCTCCGGCAGCTTGCAAACCTGCACGATCGCCTCTGGTACCGGCGGCCTATACCAGTGGTTGCTGATATATCGGTACAGCCCTATTTATTAATATACCTTCTTCAGATGATTCTCAGGCCTTCCAGCAATGACACTAACCCGCCCCCCCCCCCCCCTCCACCACCCAAAAAAAAATATTAATTCGTTATGCCTGGGATGATGGGAATAGGGAGAGCGCACGGGCCAGCCGATGAGCTGAGGGAGAGCGGAACTGAGAGAGCAGACTGTCGACTTTCTGGCCTGTCTAGGAGCTTCCGTTTCTTCTTTAGTCTGGTGTCTGTAAGCACAAGCCAGTTTCGATTCCATTCGTGATGGCACAACTGCGAGAGAGAAATGGGAAGAGGAACTTGCTCATTAATGCAAGACCGAATGCAAATTTCGGTTTGTCTGCTCGTCAGGTTAAGGTCGTCACTTCTCGTGTACTTTTGCACCACCTGGCAATGAAGTCAGGTCTCACACAATTGCGTTTGTTGAATTTTTGGATGAACAAAGTGCCATTATCAGACCGGGCAATGAGTTCATTTTCGTGTTGGACAATGCTCAGGTACACAAAAGGGTTATTCCTCGATAGCCACTCCATTCGATCCCCCCCCCCCTACTCCCTAAAGTATAGACATGCTATACGAACATTCCTTCAATACGTCGATACTGCGTTAGCCAGAAATCCCATTCATGAAGGCATTTCGCTATTCTGTCTCCTGCCGTCTGGATTTTTACTTATCCTCGGGGTATGATTTGGCCTCGCTGTCTCTCTTGGTTTCTCTGTCTAGACTGTAGGAAGGTGAAACGAGACACAATGGCTTACACTCGCCCCTCCTCGCCCTGTTCTCCATTCCTTCATTCGCCCCTGCGTGCTCCTTCGGGCATGCGGGTTGCCTGAATGGCAGGTATGCTTGAGAATCGCCTGAAAAAGGTATATTTCGTACCACGCTGAAGAATATATGGGAGACATCGATTAATACTGCGCATGCGCGAGGGTCTCAGACGCGACCGCACTCGCACGCTTGTAGGCTGCTTTGCCTAAAGTAGAGAGCTGCTCGGGTGTTGGAATTCGCACAGCTAGTGAGTCTCAACGAAGCTCCCATAATTTATTTGTATTTATCCCTCATACTCGCGAAACGATTTCTAGATTTTACCAATCAGCGAATTTTTCCATGTGAATCCACGTGAACCTCATGGGTTCACATATGTTCACAAGAGCAAATGGCAGCAAAAAAACTTGAAATTTGAGAGAGAGAGAAAAAAGAAGATATTGGATTTTTAAAAATACCACAGCTAGCAATTTCCCAATCCGGCTTATTTTGGTGGATCGAGTTGAGCTGGAATTTTAAACTCCACAGTCTCTAATGAAGCCTAGAAATGCACTGTTGCTTTCCTTTCTCTCTCTCTCTCCTTGTGCCGGGAATTATTATTATTTTCTTATTTTGGCATTAAAGCACTCATTTTCACACCCAATATCAAATGAGCCTTTAATTTAACATTTTCACAGTGCAACACGGCGCTATATAGGCCCAAATCCAATAACTAAAATTAAATCATGGTTTAATTTTAGAATATTCCCAAGCCGACATCGAGTTAACTCGGCTTCTCAGTGACGGAATTGCGAAGGCAATTCCGTAAAGAAAATCAAGGGTGTGTAATTTAAAAAAAATCGCCATTCGAGAGTTGAAGTTCTTCATTTGCTCAATATGGATTTGAATATGAATATGATTATGAATATGAAAAACGATTCGCAGGACAATGGGTTCGTGAATCCTGGCAGATAATTCCATCCATTATGTGAGGAAATGGAGTAGAGACGAGGAAGTTGCGCTAATCGGTGTATTTGAGGCATATTCCCATTCGAATTTCGCTTCTGACTCATGGCCAAGTTCCGAAGTTCATCTGCCACGAGCGTCCGTTCAGTGCAAGGTCAGTCGGAGGGGGGAG